GTGACCGCTGGGCGCGCGCTTAAAAGCATGCTTCAAAGGCTCCGGTAGTGTGGTACGCGGAACACGGTAACGGTTTGCTAAAAGTCCCTATTATTACACGAGCGGGACCGGGCGGGATGCTCAGGAGCCTTGATCCAGTACGACCCCGAAGCGATCCATACGAGAACCACCCTACAAAAATAGAGGGGCGCCATGTTGGATTCTTTATGGCTTGGCTTAGAAACGGCTTCAAAGTAAGCTACTACGTTCCAAACGTGATATATAAAAGCCGTTTTGAAAAGTAAGCCAGATATTTTATAAATAGCATGATTAGTTGTTAATATAATATTATAATTTACCAAATATAAAATGATAAGTTGACTCGTTCCAGTAATGAGAGCCCCCCCCCCCCCCCCACGGACGAGGAATTCGGCGCTACTGTACAAAAGTCGACTCCATTGGCCCTATGGGAAATGTCCGGGGGTTGGCATAGCCAGATCCGGCAGGGCGCACGTCGGCAGTCGCTTTTTTCTTTGTCTGCTTGTTGTCCGTTGCAACTTCGCTTGTCTTGCCTGCTTCGATCTGCCGCCTTTCCCTGCGGTCTGATTAGGATGCCTCTCGACAACGTCTGGGATGTGCACCAAATGTTCGAAAAGTCCTAGCAACAAGCGATTCTTCAAAGAAGTCAAGAATTCTTGCGGTTTGGCTGGGTTCGGCAAATGACAGCTTGTGCGCCGCATCGTGTTGAAACTTCCTAGGAGCCTTCCTTCTCGTTTTAGTGTTTGTGTAGTTGCCCTGCTGTGACAGTGTCAACATTTATCTTGGATTACATCTTTCAAGTCCGCTGTTATTATGGTAAGTGCACTCCTACCTACTTGTTGGCAACGATTGACCGTTCTTCTGCGAGTACTCGTCGAGATTATCTATATAATTATGCAGCGTCTGTTCTCGCGGCAGCCGGGAGAGCAATTTGGCTTTTGCTTTTGCTTTGCAATCTTTTCAGTTGTATAAAAGCTTAGAGTGCCTCTTCAGATTTCACAGATCGCTTGCACGTTTGCTCTTGTCTACGGAATAGGCTGTAATAAACTTTTATGAGAACTGAAAACCATTTTTGTGTCTGATTTTCTGCCCATTTGCAAGCACCTGCGCGAGCACATTTTTTCTACATGTTCCCTGTTATGAATAGGCTTATGAGTTTCGCGATGTCTTAAATAAGTATAAAATAACCAACCTTCCGGACGATACCCATTTAGGGCTAGCAAATAATTTTCCTATCCGAATGGTGCGTTCAGATGTGTGGTCACGTGGCTGGTCGAACGGGCACCCGTGTCGAACGAGCACCCGTATCAAACGGGCACCCGTATCAAACGGGTGCCGTTTCAAACGGGCACCCGTATCCCATAGTCACGTTTGATTTAAACAGACCGACAAGTTTGCCACCAGTTTAATTCAAACGGGTCAACCAGTTTGCTACGTGCTGATTGTTGGGCAAGTTGGGACGGTACGTTAGAAAACATGATTGCGCTTTGAAGACAGGGCAAAGTTTGCCACCTGTTTAAATTTGAAATTTTCTTTTCAGTAGGGCGTCGTGGCCACAGAGACTTCTTTCCATAGCAGAACTGTCGCCGTGAGCCTTAACTCGGAAATTATCTTCATATATGGTTCTATGAAAGCCAATAAGAGCATCGAAGGGAAATAGGTGATGACGCTACACGGGAGTTTGATTCCGTGGTTTGTTGCCACGTGCCTCGCTCTGTAGGATCCAGCGTTTGTCAGGTCAAGCCTAGATTGAGCGTAGCAAAGGAAGGATGCCTCCGGCGCCTCCGTCCACCGCGGCCCCGTCCAAGCCGTCACGCCGCCAGGAACACGAACCCGCCTCCAGCTCCGCGCGCCTAAGCTTTCGTTTCAGAGCGCAGCTCTTAAGGCTCTGTTATACCCTGACGTTACGCGAGCGCAAGCGAACGCTGGCCGAAGTCGGCTACGTCACGTCAGTCAGTCAGAGTTTTGAAAGCAAGGAAATCAAAGGAAGCGTTGCTGAGCCGGAGGCTCAATATGTCACCTTTGCCGCGCGCGTCAAAAATTCGCCCTTTTTATACTCCGGCGGCTTTGGCGGCTCCCGCGGCGCGCGTCGGTGAGCCAGCGGCGCGGCGCATGCGCTAAACCTGACTACGAGAGCACGTTTCCCTCGAGAGGGCGCCATTCCGGTTCCTTTTCGTTTCGCATAGCAGACGAAAATTCTCGAGCTTCTTGAGCGCCAAGCTCGAGCGATGGCGTGGACGTACCTTGCACGACAAAAACTCGCGCACTTGGTGCACCGCTTGCGCCGCAAGCGTAGGCGGTCAATGTACATACGGTACATCTTTGACAAGCGCATGGTCTACGGTACTCAAGCTTCCTCGTGTCGTAGACACACGGGTGAGGACGAATTCCCCCGATCAGCTTCTCGACGACCGAGTTCGACTCTTCAAACATGACGCCACACGGAGTGGTGTCCTGTCGTCTGCTATTGCTCGTATTCGCCGCGCTTCCCGCGCGAGGGCTGCCGGGAGCCAGCGCGTGGTGCATCCTGGTCCGACATCGCTGGCGCGGCCGGCGCGGAATACCGCATGCTCCATTTTGGCGTCGAGGCGGTCAGGCTGCGTCGAACGCCGCCGGTCGCGTCGGTTACGCCACGACGCCGGAGTGTAGAGCGTCGGGTTTTCGCCGACGTGACGTCGCTGTGATGCCCTCGAACGCGTTACGTCGGAGTATAACAGAGCCTTTAGGCGCCAGTTTCCGGTTTCAGCGGCGTCGGTGTTGCCGTCGCCGTCGGTATAACCGCGCTGTGCATTATGGGTAAATCTCCCCGCTAAATTTAGCGGATAAATTTCCCCGCTACATCTAGCGGAAAAATATTCCCGCTAAATATGGCGTAAAAATTTCCCCACTAAATCCAGCGGAAAAATTTCCCCGCTAAATCTGGCGGAAAAATTTCCCCGCTAGATCATCGGAAAAATTTTCCCGCTAGATCTAGCGGAAACGTTTCCCCGCTAAATCTAGCGGAAAATTTCTCCGCTAAATCTAGCGGGAAAATATCCCCGCTAAATCTAGCGGAAAAGCTTTCGCCCAAAATCTAGCGGAAAAATTTCTCTTGGGGATCACGTGACCCCCCTCCGACACCAAGGTCACGTGACCTCCCCCTTCCCGAGGTCACGTGAGCCCCCTCCCCCTCAGTACTTTTCCCTACTCCTCCTCAAGAGCTGTGCTCTAATTCGGCGTTGCTGGGAGTTGTAAACGGCTTCCATTTTTTTGCTTTCCCGCTTTTTTTTTTCTCTTACTTTCGCAAGGAGACTAAGCAAAGTGGAGATGGTGAGCTGTCTGCAAGCGCCGGCGGCATTTAAAGATCATCGTTAATGTTCCGTTGTACTATTCCAGAAAAAAAAAAAAAAAGAACGTTAAACCGATCGAGTTCATCGGCTACCGGTTAATACATTACGGTTTCGGTTAGGGTTAAAATATTAATAGGGAATTGTAGTAGACCGTTTCTCTCCTCCGCTACGGTATTCCCGAAGAAAACGCCACAACTGCGCATGCGCGCCGCCAGCCTTGTCTGTGTAGTTCGAGGCCTTGTGGCGGATTACGGAGCGCTATCCGGGTGCTTAGCGGGCTGCGGGAACGGTCTTCTACAATTCCCCAATGAGTTTTAGAATAGCGCAGGCTAAAGCTTTGCGTACGTAAAGAATAGCGTCGTCGCCACTGCGCATGCTCCGAACGCAAACCAGGTTTTGCGCTTTGCGTGCGCAATTTTAGCATGCGCTATTTCTCGGAAATAGCGTGCGTACGCAAAGAGTCTTTCCGCTCCTCCAAAGAGGATTCCTGATGAGAAGTTGGCCATAGCCAAGACGAGCAGAGTTAAAAAAATGGCGGCTTCCAGCATTACGTCGGCGGCTGCTTTGGCGGCGTCGTGAGTGCGACGTCGGCGGCATCCTCGCGAATGCGACTTTCAATACGGGACGACATTGTACTCGGATTGGCAACGATCACCGGCAACTTGGTGCTCGTGACGCACGAACATTTCTCGCCGAAGGTACGATGTGCGAAGGTCAGTACACGACACCTCTCTTGCCGAGGCGACGCAAGCGGACACGACCGGTTAACCGGTCGCGTCTCATTCCCATGTTTAAACAAATCTAGAATAATACTCTGGACCGAAAAACTTTTTTTTGAAAGTTACAGCATTTCGTGAGTGAAATAAAAATTGTGACTATCTTGATGGCGTCGCAAGCGCGAGATGCTTGGGCTTTTGTGTCGCGACGGAGAAACGCTATTCTAAAACACGCTCGCGTCGCGTGCGCTAATACAGGCGCTAAATTTAGCGCTAGCGTGCGATAAAATTGCGTACGTTATTCTAAAACTTTTATTGGTTTCATTTCGGTTACAATTACCGAAATAAAATCAATCCTAGACATTTTTCGGCTCGGGTTCCGGGTACGGTTTCAGTCTCTGGTAATAAACCCGCCTAAGATTGTTGTGCGGTCGCTTTTTGTTGGGCATGAGAATTCAAAGAGCAATGAATAATCTCCGTTCAGGAAAACTGCCATTACTTAATATAACCTGGGTGGTTATTGCAATAACAAATTTTCTGCCGAAAAATTGTTTTTGGGTGTAACACTGCACTCGTTTTCACCTCAAGAAAAAATGAGGTTTAGCGCATTGTTCATACCCCGCGCGAAGTAGTTGTGACAAGATTTGGTTTTGAGAGGAAGAAGCGATGCATTCGGTGTTTGAAACGTATACGTCTTGATAAGATAACACATATTTAATTTAAAATGCACCTACATATACCTTAATCTTCTGCATAAAAGGAGAAATTAGTGATGCTCCGCTAGGAGCCGGAGTTTTCTTTACTACGGCTCTTGAGGTGAAAACGATCATTGGTCAAATAAATTCATAAAGAAATGTATCGTTTTTGCACACGTTTACAACTGTGTCTATTAAGGTTTGCTCCCTGGAATAATTGTAATCGTCTTACCATTTTTCAGACGCCTCTCGATGAAAGGAGTGTGGAGCTTCAAAAGTACCAAGATTTTAAAAGGGTAAATTCGCTCGTTTGTGGCGGTCATTCTACGCAGCTGGGCAACCTGCCAACGCGACATAGGCGTTTTATTTTTGCATATTGCATAAATAGGGCATTGACGGATACCTATTCTTAAAATGCTTGTCATTATGCTCCGCTTGAGAGCTTTCTGCAAAAGTCTCGGTTTTTTTTATGGCCTCTAACTTGTAAAACAAAGAAACATCAACGATTATTCGTTGATGTTTCTGGCATGCTCCGTACATTACACGTTTGCATTTCACTCGCCTATTTTGTTTAAAAGCAAGGACGTCTATCGCTCAGTTTTCTTGTGTCACGGGCTCAGTTCCCCTTTTTTCTTTGTTAAATCTGGCTTTCTTGAGCATGCCATGACACAACCGAAAGCTTGTGGCCTATAGACATTCCGCAACTAAAGGATCGGCCAACACCACCTGGATATCACCCATAGTCACCGAAAAAATGAGAACGGCAGGGCATATCTTTCGAATGCTCAACCTCCAGCACGCGCTGCATGCCTTCCGCCGTGCTTTGGCTTCGTGAGCGCGCTCAAGGAGCACGAGACGCCGTATAGCGTTGTCGAAAGTAGGAAATTGGTAGGAAGTTCGCGCTGGGGAGGCGGGGCAACCGAAGCTTTTCTCTGCCTTTCTCACCTTCTCAGGGACTAGAGAAGACAAGTGCTGCACTTTTGCTGTAAACGCCATTCCTAGTGGATATTGTAGCGTGTACAGTCGGGGACAAAAGTCCCCAGGACGCGCGAGCTGCGACTGAAACTAATTGCTCTGCCATATGCCGGCGGGTCGCCTGGTTTCAAGATAACACAAAAGCGCATGTGCGTCCTACAGTGCCTGTAATCATGTGTGTTTTCCCGCGTGATTTCTCGCGTGTTTTTTGTGCGTGTACGTACACGGCCGAGATGGGACACTACTTCATACTTCTAGAAATTTTCCGGTTACTTTTGCTTCGAGTAATAGATAAGGAGGCCAACACGACCTTGCCGAGTCAGTCTCCCGAGTGTTCGGCGCTCGAACATTCTACACCGAGGGTTCGAGATGCCGAGTGTAGTAGACATGGAGCCCAGCATGACCGTGCGGAAAGACGCACTCAGCCGACGACGACGCACTTTCACACTCCCGGGCTAGCCAGCTGTGACGCCGACACCGCGATGCTCGGTGCCGCTTCACGTCAAGCACGTGAAGCTCGTGCTTGACAGCATCCTTGTCAAGCACGAGCGCGCGTGCTTGACAGGGATGCTGAAAGCCCGAAGCTCGCGCTTGTAGCTTTGGCTGCGTCTGGACCGAAGCTGAAACGAAGTATAGCGCGCGCTCGAGCGCTCGAGAGCTAACGACCCGACACATGACTCCCGCAAAAAACAAAACAAAAAAAAACAAAAGCAAAAAAACACAAAAACAAGACGAAAACAACAATAACAAGAACAACAACATAGTTTGTTGTTTTTGAGACAATTATTGCAGTATCATGTTTCCTCGCAGCTAAAAATAAAATTTTTCAAGTACTCCTACTTGCTGATTTCATCTACAAAGGCAAGCACATTTTGTAATAATACCGGCGTTAGAAATCTCAACGAAATGTCGCGTTTTTATTGGTCACGTGTTGTCCTGGCTGCCATCGCCACAAATAATTTTGTCCTTTGATTTTTTTTTATGGGCATTGTTATTTGTGGATTTCTAGGAAGCTTAGAAAACACAGAGTGAGTTTTCGCCATATCTAGGCGATCTCAGAAACCTCCTCAGGGCAGCTTTGACTACGTCGAAGATCAAATTACGAAATAAGAAGCGGGAATATGATAAGCCTAAGCACGCTCTGCGTTTCCTAAGATCTCAGCGACTATTAGCGCCAAGATGTTTCGGTGGTGCCTTCATATGATTTCCGTTCGTGACGTCACGACCACATTTCTCCTCGCCGTGACGTCTTAAGTGGTAATCGTTTACAATTTTTTATCAGTTGCGAACAAGTTCCATCGTGTGTAGGAAAAAACAACCACAAAAAACTTGGAGCCATCGCATTCTTGAACCAACATCGTCACAGTTGACACTCTTATATTGAGTTAAATTGTAATAATTCAGACAAAGACGTCTCACTGAGCATTTCCACAAATGCGAATTGCGACCAAAGCGACGCTTTTGGTCGCGCACGTCACTAACAGCTAATACTCCCTCCGCAGGGAAAAATGCAGAGTCATTTACATCAAATCACAGTAGGTGATCAACGAATCAGCTCGATATCCGGCTTTCAAGCGTCGCGCGTGCACCGCACTGCTGCAGGAGTGGTGCGTGCTGATTGGCCGATCAGATAATGCAGTTCGATGTACTTTAGAGCCTGGAACGGGCATAAAAGGAACATATGTAGATATGGAGTGAGCTATAGACCATTCCATTTAGCGCTCTCAGGGCGGCGCCATTTTGCTAGACCGCAGCGCCCTCTCCACAAATCCGGGAAGTTCAGCAGGTTCCGCGGGGTAAAACGAGAGAGTGCACGCGCCCGACTCTGCTCGCAGACGACAAACCGGTAGGTTGGCGTTCTCCATCTTCGGGCTGTACCGCAGGCTGCACCGAACATCGAACACTCGCTTGTGGCTGCCGTTATGAAGTGGTTCGCGTTCTTAGAATATTTATGGCTCCTCCAAAATCAGCCTTTAGGGCTCTGTTGTTTGATTTGAGAAATTGATCAACTAGCGTATCTTTGTTCCGTTATTTCAATAGCAGTGGAGTCAGCCGGCAACTCAACCAGTGCGTCTATTGCGCCAGGAGAGCACGTTTTTATATATTATCACAGACTTCCACTCATTGTCGCTAAAGACCTACACCCGTACGAACTTCGTGTAGTAAAATATCTACAGCAACCGGCTTACTTTTCGCCGGAGCGATCGGCCAATCTAACTAAGGTTTTCTTTTTTGTTTTGTGTCTTCGCACGCAGGTAACATTGCTGTTAGACCACGTTAGTCTTTTTGGCGGGCATAGCATTACACGATAACTTTCATATCAAAATCCGCGCATCTGCTGAAATGTCCAAAACGACGCGATTTGAAACTGAGTGTGAACACTAGCCGGATGTTAGGTACAGCCCACTCGGCGGAGCAGACGTTGCTCGGGGTGAAAGGGGGAGGACATTTTTCTCTCTCCGGTCTTTCTAGTGGAACGGTCTATTGTAAATCAGTGAATCACAACTATAATATGATCATTAGCTCGTCCATGATAACGTCACGCTTCTAGCTTCGATTGATTTACCTTCACCTCCTGCACCTCCTGCGTCGGTGCAGAAAAGTGTAGGGCGGTGCACTTCCGGTCGTATCTCAGTACACACATTGGAAGTACATTGCCTTACACTTTTCTTGGCGGTGTAGAAGGTGCAAGTAAATCGAACGACGCTGGTGTTGTTCGACGGCTGCTGATGCCGATACAATCCTGACTCATTAATACGGAGTTCGTTGATATCGACACCCAACCATATCGACAAAGTTTTCGAAGGCGAAGAAGATAACTAAATATATTTTTGTCTCATAAATATCAACAATTCACATTATGGACAATTTTTTTTTGGTGGAAATGTGGGTGACCATAATAACGTGGCATCACTAAAACAATATCCTGGAGGCGAACATACGAGAAATGCATGAACCAAAAGAGCAATCGTCATGGGCCGCGGGCACTCATAATCTCTGCTCAGTACGGCTGCGTTCCCAATTAAAGGCACAAACATCCTAGGGCAATTTTAAACACAAACAATGCGTGAGATACAAAAGTAATTTCGGATCGGGTACTATAACAAAAAGTCTTACGTCAGCTCTCGTTCGCTCGCGATTACGGATGTAAAATACTCCAGTACGAGCAGTCCCCTTCAACCATGTGCGAGTCTTTTAATGCGCTATTAATCTGTTAGTTTAGAACGCTTGTTCGGACGAAATCCCGGCAGTGTCCTTCGTTTGTCAACGCCGGGGAATGAGAGAGAAGGAGGAGGAGAGGGCGGCACGGGCGACGCTCCCATTGGTCTGAAGCGCTGAGGACAATACGCGTACACCTCTTTTTCTCTCCCCGGCGCTGACAAACTGACAGACACCGCGGGGTTTTCGTCAAAACGATTGTTTTCGTTTTCGTGAAAGGAACGTTGCACAGCTGGCGCGGAGCCAGAGAGGAGGAGGTGCCGCGGTTGGATCCCTGCGGTCGCCTAATGTTCTTCGCGCTCGGTTTTCGTTTTAGTGGTGCGTGGGCTGTCATGTGTGTGTGTAGTTAAATGGATGAATGCGGTTCCCTGTACGAGTGATATGGATGCGGTTCCTTACACGAGTCATATGAATGTGGTTCCTCCCACGAGTGATATGAATGACTGTATCCAAGGGGTCGACGCACTCTGACAGGCAGACTACAAAAAAAGGGGTGAAAAAAAATTACAGGACGATCTATTAGTGGATTCTTTGGGAATGTGTTAGCATGACCCTTGGGACACGAAACACGTTCACGTCCCCTTTTGGAAACGCTAACACTGACACCGTAACAAGGTCAGAATGAAGCCTCAAGAAATAGAGGAAGCAAAAGAGAAAGCGAAACAAGAAAACTGAAGTGGTCAGCGTTAGCGCTTCTCAAAAAGGGACTTGTGTGGCGTTTCAAATGGGTCATGCTAACGCATTCCCTAAGAATCCAACCATGGGTCTTTCTGTAATTTTTTTAAACATATTTGTTTAGCATTATATTTTGTGCGATTGCTTTTCTAGGGGCGGACTTGGAGGGGTACGGGAGGAAAGGGGGGGGGGGGGAGGCAATTACGACCCCTAAGACTCCAAGGGCAACTTTTTCAATAAAAAAAACGGCATATATCAGTTCTTTCGAAGAAAAAATGTTTACTTTTTGGATAAATGGCAAACATTAGGTAAACAAAATACATCTGGGCATCTCCTCGCTCGTGGCATCAAACCCGTTTGTGATGTCAACCCCCCCCCTCCCCCCAAAAAAAGAAAAAAAAAAGACCGTCTCATAAAACCGCCCTTGGGCCTTTCTGAATTTTAAAGTTCCCTTATCACAATTGAGGCACTCGGGTAAAGACGTACGCCATGTCTTGTCTATTGCTTTTCCGGATTTTAATAATGCATTAGTACTCATATAAAAGAAAACAGCTGACGGCGTCCGTCTGTGGACAAAACAGGGGAAAGGAAAGCGATGCGCGTAGAGAGTAGAGTAGTGAAGGACAAAGGCGGAGAGGGAGGCGACGTCACGGGGTGGAAGCCAATGCTCGCGCGGATGCTGGGGCGGGTCTGAGCTTGCAGGTGTGCGGATCGCGTATCCCTTGGTTTGTGGTACGAAAATTAAACCCATGGGTTGATCCTTGGGGAATACGTTAGCACAATGACCCTTGGTAAACGGCATACACGTCCCCTTTGGGAAACGCTAACACTGACCCTGTAATGAAGCCAAAAAGAGGCATCAAGAATAGAGGAAGCAAAAGAGAAAGCCAAAACAAAAAAAAAACTGGAGGGGTCAGCTATAGTATTTCCCAAATGAAGACGTGCGTGGCGTTTCCCACGGGTCACGCTAACGCATTCCCTAAAGATCCACAAATAAATCTTTTATAATTTTTTTTAGTCTTCAGGGTTCGTTCTTCATAATGCCCATGATCATTGTATTTTGTGTTAAGAATCGCTATTTATAGACGGCTAAAACTTATTTCTTGAGAGAAAAGCACAACACCGAGGTCCTTATTACCTCTCCTGTAATAATTGTGCTCTTGTGCTATGTATGCGCTTCACATTCATTTCCAGGGCCTTCTATACGGCAGCCTTGTATTGGTTCAGTCCTCCATGAAAATTGACTCTTTCCGATTGTGCATGATGACGTACAAACCAAACACAAACTTAACAGATGAAGGGCAGATTGATCTTCTCACATCGTCAAGAAATTCAACGTAAGATTATTTTATGATTAACCTCTCCGTGCGTCCAACAGATGCTGCTTGGCTCTGTATCGGACTTGCTACGAGGTGGTATTATAAAAGGATAATCCGTCATCAAACATTTAAATAAAAATAAAAAAAAGCAGTCAAAGTTTTTTTTTCTTTATTTTTTTTAACTTTGAATGCCAGGTGTAGGTTTTGTATATCTCAAACATTGGAACATCTCATAGCTTGACTTGGTACACCACAGCCTTTGGGAGCTACTACAATGGTGTAACCGCCGCAGCAGTGCTTCTTTCATTTTCTACGCTTTAGGTCTTTTAATGAGTGTGTTTACGAGGAACTTATGGCGAATTCCACTAGTGGTTTCAGATCAATGGCCTAAATCTGCGACGAAGTACGCAATCCGTAGGGAGCCGCCGCGCCTTCCACTCCACCAGGGAAAAACGACCTCACCCTTTGGAAGCGCTCGGCATGGGTGGCAGAACCATGGCTGTTTGTGACGCGAGACAACCACTTCTCCGTTGCGGTTGTCTCGGGTTTCGGCCATTCCTCCATAAACAACGGGGGCGCACTGTTTTTTCTCTTTTTTTTTTTTTGCTTTATGAAACCCAAAAGCAATTTGGTTTCTTTTTTTTTTTTAGTGGCATAGATACCCAGGTTTTTCACGAAGAGAAATAAAATGGTAGAAGATTTCTGAGGGCGACCATGCGTAGTTTGACCGCTGGCAATTGTGTTAGCACACCGTCCTTAAACTTGGACAGCGTTTGTTTTGTGTCTTTAAGGTCTTGTCTTGTGGGTTTTCCAAAAATAGTAAGGGTTGTGCTTGAGGTACCTGTTATCGCATGTGGCTGGTCAGCACTCAAGTGAGGTCGTCAGGGAGGCTGGTTTGTGTTTAAATGTGTATGAGTGTCTGGCTTTCGGAGACCTAGTGGAGAGCAGGTGCTTCTTTTTTGGTGGTGAGGGTCTTTACGTATATATACGAGCGGTCGTTGTTAAAATAAACTAGAAGCTGTGTTTGAGACTTGTTTTTTGTCCGTTTTTTATCGTTCTGTCTCCGGTTACTATGGAAGGAAATTTAAGTTTAGTTATATTTGATTTTTTTTTTTCAATATAAAACACACAGGGCTGAATCGACGAAAAAAGCGTTACGCTGTTCCAGGACGACGCGGAATTGAACATTACACAATCTAACCAGGAGAAAAATTCCTCCACGCTTCTTCGCTACATTCAATGATATACAATAGTCTCGATACTGCATGTAAAACCGATAAGTAAAATGGGGGCCCTCAATAATGCTGGCACCAACGAACTCACTTCACTCGTGTGATGGAAACGCGAAAATTCATATCCTTCGGACACCACTGCAGTACAGTACGCGCCAGTAATAGCCTGAACAGGAGCGCAGACGAGAAGCCCGAAAAAGGAGAAATGTGCAATGGTCGGACGCTACGAATGTTAAAGAAGCACGAGCGGCGACGAAGTATAAACAAAACGAAGTTACAAGCGATTTGACCGTCTGAAGCCGCAGCTACGACGTTGCCACACGGGTGGATGCGTCTTTTTTTTCTTTTCGAGGACATCAAGGTTTATTAATGTAACAGTAACGTAACGGAAAAGAGGACGACAACGTAACGTAACTACAGCGCCACAGCGAAAGTCAATACTGTCTTTGGATGAACTTCCACCGACCGTGACAACGCCTTTTACCGACGCCACGTTTACCAGCGGGTCGCATAATTGCGACCGGCATGCAGTGGGCGAGGAATTTACGTACCCCAGGAGATCGGTTTGCGGCCGAATCCGCTGATTTCAGCAGAGCGATATCTGGATATTTGGATCGAGATGTGGAGTTTGGCGCTGATACAGAGACGAGCGACAGGCATCGGTTGATCCCAAACGCCCTGTGGCAAACGCGCTCTCCAGACAAGTCAATTGTGGAGCGCGTCAAAACGATAAGGAAGTTCATCATTAGAGCCAACGTTATGTCAAATGTCCAGACTAAGTAAACGATTCTAAGTTGAGCGCTTCGTAGTTTTTTTGTGTGTGTTTGTGTGTATAAAAATAAGTGAAAACTTATTTTTATAAATATCATGTCAGAATACGTTGCAGGGCTTTCCACGTAGCAAAAGATCTTTTGCTACGTGGAAAGCCCTGCAACGTATTCTGACATGATATTTATAAAAATAAGTTTTCTGGCATTTTACTTAGATACACAATACTGAGATCGAGATAATTTTGTTTTTTATTTTGTCCTTCGCGCAAGAAAACCAAAACACAACCGTTGATGACTTATCTCTCAAGTCTATTGTGTACATAACCTGTATTTGGGAGTTGTGGTTTGTACAGGTATGTGTATTAATGCCGTCAGTATTCAATTGTGAATCTGGACACTTTCAGGTACTACGTGATTGGCATAGAAGTTTTGTCTTGCGCTTGCGTGAATTGTTTTCGTTCAACAAGTGCGTGCAATTGGTCTTCCGCAGTAACAAAGCACCATTTTAGTTACAGAGAGATGGTTCAAGGGTTCTATACCGAAACCGCCATACGTCACAATAGGACGTATAGAGCGATATCCTGGCTCTTTCGCGGCCGTACGTACACCTAACTGCCTCCCCATTGCGCACACTACGCTTTGCAGGCGTTTACATGTCTGCTTGTCTTCATACAGAATATTATAAATCCAGAGTTATTTTCACGGACTACAAACACTGTATCATACTCAGGACTCGAACATACAACAACCGTAAGTATCCTAACTAGGTTATTTTCAAATTTTGATTGCCCTAGTGGTAACTTTTAGAAATATACAATTTTTACACGTCACAAATTGCTTGTTCAGCTGAACACGCTGAAATGCAAAAAAAAAAAAAAAATCTGATGGGGACGTGTCTCATCATCGGCGACGGAATTCGTTAAAAATACAACAACACAATTTTAGTAGTGTTCGAACAGAAAACTTTTTCGGCGGATTGATTTTTTTACTGCACGGCTCAAAAATTCACCTGTCGCCTTTTCCCCCCTGAAGATGAAGTTGACTAGGAAACGATGATGAAACGATTATACCCTGTTTCACCTTAGGTCCAAGCAAAGCCGACGCTAAGGTTTTATGGAGCTGATCAAGCAGCGCCAAAACATACATGATCATTGTGCTCTTAGTGTTTGTGCGTTCGCTATATCCGGCGGAACCAATCGCGAGCAAAAACAGGCACAGAGTCATTAGCTATGCACTGTGCATGATTGACCTAGCCGGGGAAAGTAGCGTCTCCTGTTGGTAGGACTCAAACTGAAACGGAGTATAGTCTTCACCAAGTAAGAACGAGCTAACCATCAGCGCTATACCTCAACCGGCTTAGGTAAAGACAATGCTCCTCCAGTTTGCAACCACACGAGATGCATTAATGCAAATTTAGCGCTAATTTTGACCGTTTTAGCTTGCTTCACCTGTGTTGAAAGATCCTTTTTCAATTCGTTTTTTATGTACGCGGTATGTACATAACGCGATACAAAATGTTCATACGATCACTATGCATTGCATATCAAATGCATGGATGTCGTAATTCCCATTTCCAAAGGGCCTACATATAAAGTCACAAAATGAAGCGGTTATGCACAAACTCGACTCTTTTGATGTCACGCCTTCGTGGTAGCGCTGCTTTCGGCACTGCGCATCCGCACATGCTTTACGAGAATCTGTTTTTTGCGCACCCCAACTGGTGTGGGCAAACGCTGACTTGTTTGCATACAAGCTCGGCGGCGTCGCTGGCTTTCCTTGTTTCGAAATAATCAAAATAACTTCACTCCTGACCTTTTGTTCGTGCCGATACGCATCGGCAACATAGAAGCTTGACAATGGGGCGCCTTTTTTAGAGCGTAGCTCTCATGGGACTGCTCACGGGTGAACCAAGAGTCGTCGCGCATCCACTTCAACACTAGGTAAACATAGAAAAATCGGAAGAATTTGGCTCCAACTGTCATGGCAACCGGAAGTGCCGCGCACACCCTGTGTTCACTTGTAAAGTAAGACAAGAGGAAGAAATATTAAAATAAAACTGTTTTAATTTTTTGATAGGACACTGAGGGCGCTAGTTGCATCGCTCTTTCGTTGATTTTTAAGGTTTCTTACTCTTTTAAACGCTCTGTTCACGCGTGCGGGCGCACGCTGGCAGACGTCCGTGAGGAAGGTAGGATGCGTCCGTATGGCACCATTGTATGGTCGCGTCTTGCGGATGCCACAGCGGCCCTTGGTCGAAAGAAACATACCTCTTGCATAAACTTTGATATGTCACAGTGAACATCTTGTTTGATTTCGTCATTCGCCAAGTTCCCTCTGTAGATCTCAATGATTGGCTTTCCCACTGCACAGCGGGGAAGTAGAGGAAAATGAATATTTTAAACTACGGACACGCCGGTAGCCAAAAATTTGGAACTTTTATAAAAAGACGATCCTAAATAGTTTACGGTGCGCTTCGGATGGGAATAATATTTCTCTTATATTTTTATACTCCTTTTTTTTTTTTCAGTGTGCGAGCTCTTCACTGCTGGTCGTCATGACTCCAACCGCGTAAACAGCTGGTGTTTTTTCATCTACACGGTATTTTGCGGGGAACCGGCAGTCACTTTCAACAGCTTGTACGAATGTTGGCCGAGAGAGGTGGAGAAACACATATCAATCCGAAAGACAACAATCAGGAAGACATCGGTCCGGAAGACATAAATCAGTAGAACTCTCAACCTTGCTCATTGATGCTCTTTAAAAATGCTTTGAATGAACCAGATGATGGGAGTGAATATTCAGATAACTAAATAAAAGATATTTAATACTTTGCTACGGTGTTTTAAAACTGATGCTGACATTATTGTAACCAATTGTTTAACTCTGCGCATGAGAACGAACAGGAAAAATTTGTGCCTGCATATAGAAAGCTAAAAATGTCACCGAATGTTCATGGAGTTTTTGCAATTTACCGGATGAAATTTTAAGGCGAAGGTCACTTTTTATAGAAAACTAAACCAACACATTTGTAGGGTTAACGGTGAACGGGTTTGCAGATGACCGTGTGAGCGGTGCTTCTAACGCGTGGTGCCATCTACCGATTGGTGCAGCGAGCAGACGACAGCGTACTTCATCTTCTCGCTGCGCCTATCGGAAGGTGGCACCGCTCGTTACAAACATCGCTAATAGGCGGTCCACAAACCGGACGGAATTCCGGGGGACCGCTGGCCGAGTGGGCTAACGCGTCTCAGCTCGGAGCGTGGAGCGAAAGCTTGCGCTGCAGAACCTCCTGGGTTCGATCTTTACCCCCTGCCCGTTTCGATCTGGATGAAGTTCGTACCGGCCCGCGTTGGTGTAATCACAACTGCGTGGTGCACGTTAGAAACCCCAGATTACCGGTTGTACTGCACTGGTTAAGTTTCTAATTTACTTATAAGAGACATGTCACCCGTTGAGGCGCAATAGCATCAGGGCTGTCTAACCATACAAGCAATGATTCTAGCTTGGGGTCCGCTATCTCGTGGTCCACTGGCAAAGAGTGGGTTTTGGTACCTTTGGTGTCGCCGACGAGTTTTCGTACTTTTCGTGTCGCCGACATATTTTCGCGCAAGGACTTTGAAGGTCTATTGAACGATGAGACATATAAGCCTTTCGCCTTAATGAAAATATTTTAAAGGTATTGTCTGACAGCTACAAGCCCGAGCTCATGGCTTTATTTTAGTCAGTATTTTCTGCTGAGCAAGAATTCGTTCAACCGAGGTGCCTCCTTGTAACGGCGGAAGAAACATTTAGTTGATGACTCCCTGTACGACGCGGCGACCACATTATGTTCGGCGCACCGAGCGATTCACTCGCACGGGTATAGATGACGCCCAAGAATAGGGTGCCTCCCAAACCGACCGCTCCGGTTGTTTCTCCCAGTGGTGGTCCCGCATTCCCTCGCTCGCCGCTTCTTGTTGTACCTCACCGCCGCCACGTCGCCACCAACTCGCCAGAGTCGGTAAATCTGTGCTATCTTCCTCCTTCTCCTCTTCCTCCTTCTTCTTCTTCTTCTGCTTTTACTTCTTCTTTGGATTGAGGCTTACCTTGGTAAGCCTCAACCCGAACTTACGATGGTGGCACCTGTGATCAACACAGCACCGAAGCAAAACACAAGGCCAGCCACTGGCCGCACACCCCCACCAGACCACGAAAAAGGCGAGCACGCTACGCCGCCGACATCGTGGCCGCCGAGGAGGGACGTCATATTTCAGTGCCTTTCGCGGCGGCGCGGAGCTAGCTACTCTTGGTTCGAAGCTAGCTCCGAACACGATCAGGTCGCTCGCTCCACGCTGGAAGAGCGACCAGAGCCATCACCTAAATGTGTTTTTTTTTCCACCGTGCTCCTTGTAAAAAGATCTCGTGCTTGTATACCCTATACGCTGTTGAAACTTAAAGGGACCATGAAACGATTCGGCAATCGAATTTCATCCATCGACCGTCGTAAAAGGTTTGAAAAGAAACACAAAAACACAAAAACAGGGAGCAATAAAAATTTTTTTTTTTGCTGTAGAACTTTTTAAAAGAAAACTGGACTCTTTTGCGCCTTCTTTTCTTCGGAAGCTCTCTGCCTTTTCACTGAGATGCATCCGCGGAACCGCAGCACGTCAGCCGAATCCACGTCGCCTATTGGGTAAGAGCCTACCTCACCAGCACCGCGATCAGAAAACAACAAATAGCCGGTGAATGTTCCCTACAATTTTTATTAAACAATATTCAGATCCACATTTTGTAGCATAATTAGAGATGTGACGAAAATTGCCAAATTTGATAATTCTGAGAGCCAAGCGCCATCTATCGTGTGATAACCGAAGCAAGAGAAAGACCCTACTGTGTCGCTCAGCTGGCTGTTACTTGGTCAGCCGCGACGACCAACGAACGTTTATTTTTCTACGTGTTCTTCTCGCGCGTCCCCACTTCAAGCAGCAAGAAAAAAGTAAAAAAGCACTTCAAACAGACCACGACGGACAAGACCGCTGAATCCACAAACACCCGAGAAAACCTACAACGGCCACAAATACACCGACCCCGACCAAGCAAGGTCGGCGGAAAAGTAGGCCTAGCAGGCACTGTGACTCGGCGCAGCGTTGCTTCAACGGTACTTGGCCAAGACCGCCTGCCCACGACCGGCTGGCGTGCTGAATGGGATATGCCCGCGCGACCCTTGTGGACCCTTCCCGTTTTATAGCTTGATCGCTGACCTAAATTTTAGATTAAGAGGCGAGGTGAATCTCTTCCTCTTGTTATCTCCTTGTTTTTCGAGGCAGTGGTGACGAACACTATCGTCGAAAAGGGATTCTAGTCGATTCTATCTTCTTGTTTTGTGTGATATAGAGCTCAAATGAACGCGGTAGGATTACCCTCGTAACACGGTAGGTACACCTTGTTATTAGTACGCCATTTTCATTCTGAGACGACTGCACGTCACTGTCAAGCTATATACAGTTCGTGGGAGCTACGTGCAATGCCGGTCCAACCTCTCTTTGCCGAGTGTCACGTCAGTATCGAGTTCCAATCGTAAAAGATCGGTCGCGAAGCGCTTACCAACAGCGCGAATCCAGCACTTCCATCAAACGCGCGAGTCCGCTCCGAGTGTGAACAGGTATTTACGCGGCTCTTGCTGACACTGTAGTAGTTCAAACGTATCTTTTTTAACGTCGGCTCGCTCCCGCATCTCCGAGGCCGCGAAAAACGCCGCGGCAATTTGTTTCCACCTACGTCGCTTTGCAAACGACTAACACGGGCCGCCTTTTACCAACAATGACAGTTGCGTTGACTTCTGGAGTCTTCACCGGAAGACTCGCCGCACTTCCCAACAGGCAAATCGGCGTATTGGACTAGTCCCATGCTGTCGCTGTAGCGCAACATATCTCACTGAATTTCGCTCACCCGTGGGGTGCTATTCTGGTCGCAAACGGAACCTTTCGAGTTGTGACGTATCGAGAAAGAAGGGGCGGAGCCTCAAACTAGATTGATTCTAGTGTGAGGCTCCGCCCCAACGTTCGGGTTTACGCACGCGGTCAGCTAGAATCTGACGATCCCCCTACGTCGCGATGACGTGTCCACGCAGTTGGGGCGCAGAAATCCCCGCATTTCCCCCTGTTCTTTTTGTTATCTTCTTTCTTTCCTCCGGGAGTTAGAACGAGCGAATAACGGAGAAAAGGATACCTTCCGGAAAATAGAAGGAAACAGAAAAATTAATATTATCTTTTTATAAAATACGAGATATTATTTCAATAATTATGGCGTAAAGTAAATTTAGCTAAGATATCTCAGCTTGTTTTCTCGAAGTCTTTCGCTACGGTCTTTGAAAACAGACATGGCGAAAACCGCGGTAACGACCTTGTGGTGTTTGTGTCTCGTTTGCGTCGTTGCTTTCCCTGCTTCTGCACGATACGGATGGCATTACGAGAAAAAAAAATATTACGTGAAGGTGCGCTGCGACTTCGATCACCCTTTGTGAAGCCGCCTTGAACATAAGCTGCAAATGAAATTTCCTGTTTGGCTGTGAAGGAGACTTCAAATGGATACAGAGCTGACGACGACTCTGTGGTAGTATATGACTAGTCATGAGATCGACGCAGAGTGAAACGGTTGTGAGCATTCTGTGGATGATGCAGGAAAGTTTCTTTGGGCAGTTTTAAGAATGCTTTGCTCCTTTGCTCACTGCAGTGATTATGCCGGTATAGTCTCCATAAGCCATGCTCTTCCCTTTCGGCGCTGAAGCACGCGACGGCATAATCTCGGGCAGTATTTTTTATATATTTTTATTTGCAGAATAGCTCGTACAAAAAAAAAAACGGCTTTTACGTTTTTACACGTCCATACATAGGTACCTCGCTTTCCCATTGGCTTCATTGCGCGTGACGATTCAACGCCATTTGCCATGGAAACGTTCGTGAAACTAGAAAGCCTCTGTTTGCCGCAAACAGTCATTTTTCGAGTTCGGGTTGTGACGACAAAATGACGTAAGAACAAGAATGCAAGGGACTATTTGCATTGTTTTAACTCGACAACCGTACCCTTGGCGAGTTAAACTCGAAAGAACATGGCTGCGATGCTCGTTGGATTGACCGCGGCTGGGGTTTGACATGCGATCGGTCACTCGGTCAACGCGCACACGAATGCTTTCGTGCTGTTGGATGAGCCCATTCGGCGGCAGGACCGGGTCGAAGAGCACAGTGAGCTGGCGTTTAACGTCTCCGATGTAACGCTTGGCGAGATGCAAGACTTGGCTTCTATTTGTGATGGTGTTAAGAAGCTTGAAAGTGGTGGTGTTGTTGTGGCTCGTAGGGTAGCGTTGCTGAGATTATAAAGACGGTAATAGACCTTTATTCAGCGTTGCCGTGCATTAAGATTCAAAACCTCACCTCGACACAAAGGGAGCCACGTTTCCGCGAGGACGGAGGCAGCAGCCAACGGTCTGAGTAAGAATTGTGCCGCTGCCACGACCGCCAGCGATCGCCCCATCGGCAAGAAAACAAACGACAAGCTCATTGAGGTTTGTGTAGTGCTGACTACTGATTCATCGGACGACAAAGGTGAATGATGTAAAACGCAACGTAAGTTTGTCAGCGTTTTGCAAAACGAATTCGTTTCGTTGAAAATTTAATTTGTGGAATTCGTTAACGCCTTGAAAGTTTGACGGGGACCGCATTGTGAACGAAGGCTTCACACAAGTG